GGCCAAACTCTAGCCCCAGGCTCCTCTCTGTGCAATACCTTGAGGACAAAGTTACATGCATGAACTGAAAGCTCTATTATAGTAGAGTTCATGGTCAAATTCATTTGGCAGCACAATTTACCAGTGGGGTCTTATCACACTTTCAAAATGCCCCCTGGAAGGCTGGGTTTTTGGTGCTCAAAGGGCAAAAATTGAGACCCCCCCTGTAACTCCAAAACTAAAACTCAGAGAAGTGAGCCAAAGTGGCTTTTGAAATATCTCATTATACCCAACTTCTGTGCCAAGTTTCAGCCAAATTGGTTGACCACAACTTTTGGCCCCTGGAACACTTTCTCAGACAATGACACTTAATTTGAAATACCTACATGTGAAAATTATAAAACCTTTGCGGGTAGTAGTATAAACAAATAATAGCATGATTTGTGCGTGATATTTGGCATAAATACCACTGACTCGTGATATTTCAAAATTGTCTCAAATTTCACGCGCCTAACGGCTCGTGAAATTACGTATAACAATTTCGAAATATCACTCGTGGTATTTATGCTATCACTACAAATCATGCTATTACCTATACAAATTCTTTTCTCTAATATGAATAATTTTAAAGTTCGATAGCCGATAAACGTCCTGTAGCTGTGTCACGGTAACTGGATGTTTTTTTGTTTTTTTTTCCCTGGTTAGAAACTAAAGTTGGGGACATTTACGTGTCCTACAAGCGATTATGAACAATCAGCTTTTGTCCTGGAATTGTCAGTATGAAAAATATAATGAAAAGACATTTTGGGTGAGACTTTATTTTGGAAGGGGTGGGAGTAGAAGGGAGGCGGGGAGGGAATAGGGCAACTCGTGAAAAAGCGCGCTAACTTTAAAAAGAATTCTAAGCAAGTGACAATTCGGGGATTTTAAGCGGCTCGTAGTGACCTTTAAAATCAATTCACATAAGAATTGATCTCAAATACCTTGTAAACCGGCACTTTTAAGCAGCTGTAACGCCACGATTCCCAGTTAAAACACGGCGTTGAGAGAACAACACATGTTTTAATCTGCTACTCAACTAGTCTCACAATCACTTCTTCGCGCATGGTTATTACGTCATGTCACGTTACTTACTTAGAGGGGTACCCGCGGGGTTTGCCTCGCGCCACACAGCCCATTTCCAAGCTCTAAACAGAGCAAAGTTTACTTGAAGGTATGTGTCACGTAATTTTATGGCGTTGTTTACGCCACGTGTGGCCCTAACCTTTTCTTCTTATTATTATTATTTTTTTCTATGGCGTTCAAAAGAATATTTTAAAAAAAATATCACCACGTTTGTCAGTCCATCATAAGGTTTCAGTGGACGAAATATCAGGAATTTTGATTTTTCATCATGTGCCACGATATTTCGATTAGGTTCGACAGTTAGTGGACATTCCCTCTGAATAACCTTACAACGTTGTTGTTTTTGTAGACAGTGAACCACCCAAAATAATGTGCCCCCAAAACATAAGAACGAATAACAGCCTCCACCAAAGTTATGCAGTTGTCACGTGGGTAGAGCCGACATACAGCGACAATTCGGTCGGCGTTGATCCGCTGGCCGAAGTGATTGTAACTAGCAACTTTAAGTCAGGACAGAAATTCCTCATTGGCCAGCACTTCGTACAATATACAGTGAGAGACAAAGAAGGATTGACAGCTAAATGCTCCTTTACAGTGGACGTGTTAGGTGAGCCATTTAAAACTTAATGTGCTGTATCACTGCAGAATTTTATGGTAATATATATTTTCAGTATCATGTTATGGCTCCAAAAAAGGAATATTTATACGTAATACGTTATGGCTCTGTATTAAAAATGAGCGTTAACCTTAAATTACAATTTATTTTAGCTTTAGGTTCAGTTTCCATCTGCAACCAACAATGGCGTTGTAAGGACTGATAATGGAAATACCCTTTTATCAGCTCTTCAACGTCCATCAAATTCGCAGCTTTCTTCGCGGTCTGCCTCATTATTTCTTGGCCACATTGCCCCAAAAACTAAAATAAAACTTTGCCAAAGAAGAACAGTCGGCACCACAAAAATTACAAAACATTTAGAAATCACTCTTCTCGATCTTGCAACTTCCCCGCAAGCCCAGCCTATGGTGTTTATATGTCTTTTAACTAGTGAGATACGCCAGAATTTGCCTGTTGGATTTTGTAGATATTCGCGGACTTCTCAACCAACAAGGCTTCAAAAACCTTTCACTTTTACCACTAAATTCTTCAAACGTCATGGTGTTATCCAAGGTTGAATACCATCGTAGCAATTTTTTTTTTCTTCAGAACTTGTATCCGTACTTTTGGTTGGGTGCAAGTGTATGTGCGTTTAATTTTATTATGATATGTATACGTTCTTTATAATTATTTATTATTTAAATAACATGTACTTTTAGTTTGTTATTTAACGTATCTCATTTCCTTAACGTTGTTTCTTTGCTGCTATACCTTGTCTTTGAGAGTGCTTGCATTGCGAGTGGCTCCTCGAAATCGATTGTTAAATTGCACATATTCTAGGCATCCTACTGATGAACAGTTACGGGATACAGGTATTAATAGTCACAACAATATAGCTGAAATATACAGTCTGTCCCCTTTAAATTGAGAAAGAATAGTGCGACTTCCATTGATCAGTCATGAGTTGAGTACTAGTAGGCCCCGGCTATAGCCGCACTGATTTGCAGCAACTTCTTTTTAATTGCAGAAAAATTATTTTCATCTTCTTTTTATTTACACCAGGTATCATGTTTTAAATTTGCAGCAACTTCTTTTCATTTGCAGCGGGTCTTACCTTGTGCACTGCAGGTTTTTTAATCATTTTCTTTCACGACAGATAATGAAGCACCCTACTATACATCATGTCCTGAAGACAAATTAATTGAAACTACTCAGGCATCTGAACGAGTGACCTGGACTATTCCACAGTTCCTGGATAATTCCAATAAAACTCCAATTGTAGAATATAACAAGAATTCTGGTGAAATTTTCTACCTCGGGGAGGTAATTGTTACGTATGTTGCAAAAGACCAGTCGAAAAACGTCAATGACAGCTGTGCCTTCAAAGTTGAAGTTAAAGGTAAATCGCTTGATTTAGCTTCTACTATATTTTACTATTTATTCAAATTAAATGAGTGCAAAACTCTAGATATCGCAAAATGTCTAGATAGCAGCAACAATATAGATAGCCTATAAAAATCAATATAATAAACGCAAAAGATAATAAACGCTTATCTTTACAGCACAGGCAGTCCAAACTCACGTTAAGAGGAAAGAGTGTAAAGTAATTTACTTTATACCATAGGTGACGCTTGACCTTTCTGCTCGACGCGCCGGTGTCGCGTTACAGGCGACCATTGAAAATAGGAGACTTTGTATGAGAAATAAAATACTGAGATCTGAGATCTCTGCTAAATAACGTTAAATCTAATTTTTCCTTCAATGAAATGAATAAAAAAAGACTTACCTGCGATGTATTTCACTGTGTTTCGGTGTCTGCTTGTCATTTTACCAGTTTTTTTCGCTTTATTGCATAACCACTGTTACTCCCTTCATAAGACGAACTTAAGGTGGCTGAATACAGTTTTACGGGCGGTCAGCGGAAACGTGCGTGACGGCGCGTGTTTTAAAATTAGACATACAAATATGGCGGCGAAAAAACAATAGTACACAGAAGACGATTTCTCAAAATCTACTCATTAGAATTCTGTGATATTTGGCAGAATTTTTCCTTTTATCGTATTTAGAGTAATGAGAACTTTAAAATGGAAGTTGAACAGACGAATGTTGTGACACATTTAATAATTACAGTTCAATTAAATTATTGATTATCCAAAAACCCGTCTGTTAAAATTTGGTCAAATAAGTTTCAAATGGTAATGATCTTATGATTAATTATAGTAAGCTGTGTGCAAGTTTATAGGAAAATCTAATGAGCGAATTTTGTGTAAACTGAGAAAAAGTGAAATTATAAGGTTGTATTCAATCCTTCATGTTGCCATGGAAACTACGAAAACGTCAACTTTTACCGGTCAACCAAAATCTTTCATCAGTACATTTTTCACTTGCCAAGTTTCAGCTTGTGACCAGAAACCTTTCTCTTGCCATGATTTGGCAAATGACATATAATCACAAACTGCCAAAACTGTGTTCACCCACCTTAAAACAATAAAACGACAAGCACATACCGAAACACAGTGGAATACATCGCAGGTAAGTCTTTTTTATTCATTTCATTGAAGGAAAAATTATATTTAACGTTATTTAGCGTTCGAAGATCTCAGTATTTTATTTCTCACACAAAGTCTCTTATTTTCAACGGTCGCCTTGAACGCGACACCGGCGCGTCTAGCAGAAAGGTCACGAGTCACCTGTAGTAAGTAAATTAGTAATTTATCCTCACTGCATACCTATTACCACATCACGGTAAACTAAGTTATGGGACGAGACCGCAACAACTGTGGAAACTAAGGTATGCAGTGGGAGTTTAGCGTAGCCGCGTCGACCGGCACCAGGGGAGGAGGGTGGGGCGACAGAAGCTTCCTTCACCGGAACGCGGGCAAAATGACAACGATCGAGGCAAAACACGAGAATTTAAGCAAAGAGACCGCAAAGCATCATACCTGCAGAGCACGGCGGAATCTGAAGGATATAGCTCAAATTCCGTGATGCGCTAATTATGTATGCAGTGAGAATAGTAATTTATCCTCACTGCATACCTATTACCACATCACGGTAAACTAAGTTATGGGAGGAGACCGCTCCAACCCTTGACACCACGCTACAGCTACCTGACTGACCCCAAAAAGCACCCCGAAGCATACAAAACCACACAACAAAAGCTACAGAACACAATTTTAATCCAACCTCTCCCATTACTCAGAAATCCCCTTTAACCCTGATAGGAGGACTAGGGGTAACAATAACAGATGAAAGTGAAAATTGTTCAATTAGTACAAACGGGTTGCAGATTGTCGGGGTGAGACACAGGCACTGTGACCAAACCAGTAGCACTAGGAAGGACTTTCTCGAAGATCGTGAGAGACGCCGCCGCATCAGACGAACGGGAATAATGTTGAGCCATCTCCCCACTCTTCCAACCTATATACTGTGCAACCTGCTGTTGAGAACAACCTAGCAATCTCAAAGTAGTAGACAAACCCACCCGGAAACTATGAGGGGTTTCGCCGTCATGAAGCTTAGCTTCGGTGAGATACCCCCGAAGACGGTTATTAACAGCCGAGCCGACGAAAGGCCTGGGACTAATATCTCTACTGCGGTCAGAAGCCCGAAAGAAAAAACCCGAAGCTAAGCGGATCTTAAGTAAATCGCACACAGAGAGATAATAAGTTATCCAATTAACCGGGCACACGTCTGTTTTGCAAAAGGGAACCAAGGCGAAAGAACGAGGGGGGTCTTTACGCAAAGTTTTAGAAAAGGTAAAACGCAACAAGTAACCCTCACGATCTTTTAATTTAAAAACCTGGCTGGCTAATAGGCGACCCAAATCCGATGCCCTGTCGCCCGTAAAGAAATCTATTACAAAAAAGGTAGCATCCCTAACCAAAATATACTGACTAATTCTAGACAATGATTGACTATCAACAATTTTTCCCCGTAAATGAGCAATTAAATTCTGGAACTTAACAAAGAACAATGGCACAGCTTGCGAAGGCGAAATAGCCATACCCGCCTGTTCGACGCGAACAAAGTTCAAGTATTCCTTGATGCGAGGATGCGCGATAGGATTAGTGTGGTCGATGCGACCAAGTTTATTAAAGATGGACTTGAGCTTTCCAAGCAGGGAGTCAACGGTGCCAGCGGCTAAACGGCGGGGGCAGGCGCAAGCCTCTCCGGAACATGTGGGGACATGAACCACTGTTCGCCCCGACGAATCTTTATAAATGAGAAACTTAATAACGTCGTCTACCGTACAAGATGAAATTGTTTTAGGCGGGGAAACTGACGCGAGAAACGTAGATAACTGCTGCTCAAGGGCTGACTTTTGACGTTGATAGGGCCGACGCTCAAACGAAGACCTAAACTCTTGAAAACGCTCTTGAATAACCTTCTCATCCACAGGACCCCTGCCACGGGGAACAGCTGACACCAAGGGCGCAGTGGGAACCCCACACGCTTGACAGAAATTGGCATCTGCGTCATTAGGATACAAGCACGAACCACAAAGACGGGCTGGTTTCCATGGTCGCGGAATCTAGCAGAAGACCATAAACGGCAAAAAATTAGAAAATACAGCGATAAGCCCACAAGTCCCACTGAAGACGTCGCGCCGACCAGACATGCGTGGAGCGAGAGGGAAAAAGCAACACAGCATCGTCGCCCTTCCTGCCAAGCAAAAGGCGATCGACTGCGACAGACTGAAGGAGAGCCCACCAAAAACGCCTGGGACGCAAATCTGGGACCACCAGAGTAAGGGCTCCATGGAATCCCTGATCCAAAAAATACCTCAATAGCGGACCGAGTAAAACAAAAGGCGGAAAAGCGTAAATGTTATGCTCCAATGGGATGGGCTGCGCAAAGGCGTTAACCCCCTCAGAGGTCGGAGTAGGCCAAGGAGAATAATGAGGAAGCATTAGACCAGAACGATCCCTTCGACAGTTACTGTCTAACGCCATAAGATCGAAGGAGTGAGGACCGAATCTGCGCTCCACTGAATTCCAGGCCTGTTCTGACAACATACAGTCAAGGTCCGAACACGCTCGAGAAGGTGCGTCTGCCATATTGTCGCGGGAAGGAACATAGTGGACATCAATAGCCAAGTTTAACTGACGGCTACACTCCAAGATTTCCTTGACAGAATCGTTAACAGATGAATTCTTGCAGCCGAAATTGTCCAAGGCGGCCTTGAGGGTTCGATTATCAGTATGAATATCAACCCTAGAATTACGTACATGGTCTCGGAAAGCCAAGAGTGAGCGTACCAAAGCCTTAGCCTCGAGAGAGTTAATATCATCCGAAGCATCCATCCAATAGTCTCTGGACTCGATCCTTCTCCCGTCCTTAAAAAGAACTCCACCCCACGAGCGTTTAGAGGCATCACAGAACAGGGAGACTATACAATGTTGCTCCGACCTCCAAGGCAAGCAGTCTGACCAATCATCTAAAAAGCGCCAGTACGCGACATCAAAGCGGAGTCTTCCTTGGACTTTAGCAGCAGTCTTAGAAGAACGCGTAAGCTGGGCTATCGCGTTAAAGACTTCGCGGACGTAAAGCTTGCAACCAGGGATGGCTAAACTAAAAGAAACGACCTTGCCAGCGAAACGTTGCAGCGTTTTAAGACTGACACAGGAGGATGACAAAATACTTTCCCGCAAGGTCGCGAACTTGGTCTTCTTATCCTGGGGAATAAGAAACGCCTGGCGCATAGAATCGCATAAAAAACCCAAAAAACAGACCACCGTAGAAGGAACGTACTGCGACTTGTCAATATTAATGAAATAGCCAGCTTCTATTAGAATGTAACACACAATGTAAGCAGCAGCTTCAGCTCTCTTAGTGCTTGGAAGAATGACGGAACGCATCGGAGAGGCAAAAAGCTGTCCCACATGACGGTCGTCAATATACTGTGACAGGGGAACCCCAAGGGAGCGGGCGGCATGCGAGACGACTAGACCTAAGTTATGATAAATATAGGCGCTGGCCTTCCAACCAAAGGGGAGCGTACGAAACACAAAAAAGAAATTATCCCACTCGAGCCCAAAGTACGTCTCAGACGACGGATGCAGCCGAACATGCTGGTAGCCACTCTTGTCATCGAAAGTCGTCTGGAAATGCCCAGGCAAAACATACCGGGGCAAATCCGCCAGGTGATCTAATTTAAATGGAAGATCCCTAATCCATAAATTTAAAAACCTTTCGTCGTGGCAGAGACGAGGCTTGGACGGCTCAATGGTAATTGGAAGGACCAAATGAGGCGGAGACACGACTCCAACTTCTCCCCAAACGGACAAAACCCCTGATGCCACCCACTGAACAATGGTATCGCAAATAAAATCAGCGAACTGTGCACAAATAGCAGCGTTCTTGATCTGAATGGAAGGAGGGGTCTGCGCATGGTAGAACTGCCCCTTAAAATCCCCCCTAAATGGGGTGAAAAAATTCTCCACACGAACACCATCCCGGAGAATCTCGAGAAGATCCACCGCACAGGAATAATCGGCCAGTAGACGTTGCCAAACAAGGAAACTTTCGTGAATCATACCAGCTTTAAAATGACCCGGGTCACGGAAGCGAAGGTTGGTCAAAACACCTAATTCCGGGCGAGAGGAAACCATCTCCGGAGAGGCCAGGGGGGGGCCAACGAAGGGCTGGGTTCCCTGTGCCAAAGAGCGAAGAGGGACAGATCCGCGAAACTGTAAATACGAGTCCCGAGCCTCCAAGATCTGCGGGGCGAAACGAGAATGACGCGTCTGAAAAAGGGAGTAAAGGGAAAACCGTAAAGCTAGGCGGAGACAAACAGGGAAACCAATCCCTCGTTGACCCCAGAATCCGAACCAGGTCCAGAACAGAGACACATAGGAGGTCCCCCAGGGTCAACGACGAGAAGGGCTTTTTTTTGTTGTTGTTTCGTTTCAAAAAAAAAAAAGACATGGACAAAGATGAACACAAGCAAAATGTTTTATTTAACGGCGAAAAATAAAACAAAAAGGAAATTACAAGGCAACAAAATCTTGTAAATCGAACATCAAGCGAGTATATCAGCGAGGGTTTACTCGCCCTCCATAACTAAGGGCTCCACGTCCCCGTCCGTACGGAAACTGCGCCTGAGTTGCCCTACAGGTGCGCGCAAAATGACCCAAGCGGCCACACTTGAAACATGGTCCTCGCCCGAACGGTATTCCAAGCCTTGGACGTATAGGGCCAACGTGCGACTGACCAGACGTCTTGGAAGCAGACTTTAGTATGGAAGCGGCTTCTTTAGCGACCTTAGCTCTAACGGGGTCTCCCAACAGCCCTAGCAATAAACGCTGCAACTCTGGGGAACTGAGAGAGTCCCATCTCGCTCGTACCTCGTCAAGGGCCGCGGCATATTCTTCAGCCTTCTGGTGTGCTTGGGTGCGCGCGAGGCGCACTAGAGCTTGTAAAATGTCCAACACTTCGAAACGGTCAAAAGCGCTATTAGGACGGTTAAGGTATCTTCTAAGGTTAACCAAAGTACCCTCGGTAGTTTCCAAAGTTTTCTCCTGCTCAAGGGCTCGGACCTTTCTTTCTAACTCAACCAAACGAACATCAGCCTGACAGACGAGAGAAAAAATTAAAAAACAAACAAAGGTAAACGAAACGAAAACAACAAACACGGTGGCAAAACGGGACGCATAGAAGCCGATTAAATTTCCAAAAGGAACAGAAAGCACCTAAAACAAAAACTAAAGTAGACCAACCAAAGTCGTAAAGAAAAAACATTGCCAAATCAGCACGACTAAGACACTTCGCTACAAAGCGGTATCCCTCAAATATACATATAAAATGGAAAACTACGAGCAAAAGGGAAAAGACATAACCATAAGGTATGATAACGATCTAACGTTCCTGTCTCCCTTGTTGATCTCATTTACCTTCCGCTTCTCTCAATAATGACCACTAATATAATTTCCTCGCCTAAAAGCGGTATCTCATTATGACAAAACAGAAACTTCAATTATGCAAAGGTAATATACACTCATTCGCTACCAGTATTCCTCGCTAAGAAGCGGTACCTCCTAACAAAAAACGATAAACAGGCTTCGCCTTGAAGCGGTATCCCTTCGCACGAAAAGCGGAAACTCCCAATATGCCCAAAAATAAATTATGTACAATCACTAACACAACTTCGTCGCTATAAGCGGTATCTCCTCGAGTAGAAATATCGACCAACGTTCCTCGCAATATAAAGCCGTATCTCCTCGTTTGTGAAGCGAAAAACCCCCCAATCGGAAAAATATACGCTCATCTTACCACCACCATTTCTCGCTATAGAAAAGCGGTATCTCCTCGCTAACAAAGCGGAAACCTCAACCACTCACTTTCCTTTTCCTTCCCAAACTTAATAGATATAATATGTTTATAATTTTGTTTGTTTAACGAGCGAGCACAGTTAAGACTAGTAAAGGTCCTATAATTTATGCCCTAAGGTGTAAACTTCTTGCAATAAAGCGTGAAAAAATCTGCATAGATGAACTAACACCTTAGCAAGCCGCTGAAAGCGGTAACTAACGAAACAACAAAAGGAAAACTTCTTACGCTACAAATAAAACAGCAAACTCTAGCCGCGAAGCGAAAACCCTAAGCAGACGTGAAAGAGTGACATACGACTAATCTCCCGCGCCATAGGGCGGAAAAACCTCGCTTACAAAGCGGCAAAAAACGCTAGCATATGGAAAAATAACACCCGAGTAAACACGTGGCAAGCAGCAAGCAAAACGGAGGACTACATTCGGAAGTATAGAAAAATACGTAACAGAAAAATACGTAAACGCGTGGCAAAGAAACGAGTGGCTCGCAGGGCTCGCTGACCGAAACAAAAAGAAAAGCAAAAGAATACCTCAGGCTCAACCACTGGTGGCGGAGCAGCTTCAACAGCACCAGCTGGCTCTTCAACAGCCTCGTCAGGAACAGGAGCAGGCGGAGCAGGAAGGGCACCCATGACATGAAAGGCTGGTGCCAGTCGACGGTAGATTGCAGCGACAGAAGCTTCCTTCACCGGAACGCGGGCAAAATGACAACGATCGATGCAAAACACGAGAATTTAAGCAAAGAGACCGCAAAGCATCATACCTGCAGAGCACGGCGGAATCTGAAGGATATAGCCCAAATTCCGTGATGCGCTAATTATGTATGCAGTGAGAATACGTTACACTCTTTCCTCGTAACGTGAGTTTGGGCTGCCTGTGCTTTATACACCAAACAAACAACAGTTTCAAGAACAAAGACTTCCAAAGGTCATTTCGATATGAAAGACACGGAATTATCAAACGAGTTTTTGAGAGCTCACAAGTGTGTACAATAAAAATTACAGGTACCTTATAATTACAATAGCATTAACGAAAATGAAAATACATTGCTGTAAAAATGGCGGAAGCATGGGCTAACCGTGGTCATAGATCATGTGATCGTGTGATTCACTGTTTCAAGAAGTTCCCTTGGAGAACTTTTTACAACATGGACGAGAGGTGAAAAAAATTGTCCAAGAAATTGTCATCCGATTGAAAATAGCACTTCTTGTGGCCCATTAAGCGTCCACGTTCAATGTATCAATATAAAAGAAAAACCCAGTACGCCTACTAGAGTTTAAAACTCATGTTTTATGATACGGACTCCCTCCGGTAGCATACAAGGTACAAGAGGGGTATCTGTTTTGAATACATGAAATAAAAGATAATAGTAACAAGAATTTTAAATATCCTCAACCAGAAACAATCAGACAGGCCTTAAAGTAAGACATATTTACAGGGAGTACCTTTACCTTTTTTAATTGGCTGGCCATAAGGTAAATGAAATTTCCGGCGTTTCAGTGGATACGAATTAACCGGAAATGATCAATATCTGCGGCACGGGAGAAGTGGGGACTGGGGCAGTTAAAGTGCAGTATGGGTAGAATGGAGTGCTATAAAGTGATGCTTATCATGTGGGGAAGCATTCTCGGCCCCCACCTCGTCTAGCTCACGTTATTTTTTATTTATTTTTTTAGTATATATTTGATTTACTAGTGGCAGTTCGAGTTTCGCAGGGGTTTCTCAGCTTGTTTGCGTTTCCTACAATTATTTAGAGTTTGCCGTGCTTTGTTAGAATGCATGTTTAATAAATAGGGGCAAAGACCCTCCAGCCGTGTAGCCTTCGTAGAATGGGCTTTTCAGAACATGAGCCATGGATCCTACCCAGATTTCCTGCCGAGTTTTTTTTTCCCTACTGGGGATTTTTTCCGGCAGGTTTTTTCTGGCCTCTGCTCTGACAGTGTTCTGTGTAAACTGTCGCTCACCTCTGTTCTAGTTTTTCCACCACATGTTTGAAAGTAGTGAAGATGTTGTATAACGTATTGTTATATCTGCGGTGCTCGGCCGAAACAGCCAAAATAAACCTAATTGTTTTTCTAATTCATGTTGTACTGCGGAGTGGAGCCGAAATACTATTTTTCTAAGTCGGGCATCTTCGGGCTCCCTCTAACTGTTCGCCATTTATAGAAGCACTCACCATAAGGTTTAGGGTTGCAGACAAAAAAAGTTACCCGACCCAAGAAATCTTTCTAAAAAAAAATGTTTGTAGGTGACTGGCTCGGATGAAAATAACTTTGTAGTCCAGTACTGCACTCTCAGTAAGGAGCATATACCTTCTGTAGACAGACAGCTTGCGCATGTCCCGTAGTTGTCCGGACAAGAAAAATTACGGAGTTCACTTTATATTATAAACTTGCTAATACTTAGTTTTTTTACCAGTACGTATAGCTGTATAGGCTGGGGTTCTTCCTTTGTCTCGCTTTTTAAGTTGTAACGTTGTTTTAAGATGCAATTTAACAAATTGATATTAAATTTCCGTTGCAGCCAAAAGTTGTAAAATGTATCCAGCTCCCGAAAATGGTGCGTTGGCATGCAACGCGTGGGGTGTCAGTAATCGATTTTGCCAGGTCAGTTGTAATGATCAATGGGATTTTGCATTTGCCCCGGCTGTCAGCTATGCCTGCGCTAACGGAATATGGACGGCGTTTGGAGGACCCCCACCCCCGTGGCCAAGTTGTTCAGGTCAGTGGTAGAACTATTGCATCATGTTTTAAGGCAATCACTAGGGACTTTATATCTAACAGCAAGAGAGGTTTTCTCTTTCTCTCTCTCTCTCTCTCTTGCTATCTATGGTTCATTCCCTCAGTCTTTGTTTGATCACGCAGAAGCAAAGCCTCTTGGATACTTTGTGCACGCGTAACCAAAAACTTGCCAAGTCGCGGAACTCGCAGAACATACTCCTCCAAAACAAAACTTTGCTTCGAGCCGTCTTCATACCCTCTTCTACGTCGTTGTTTACTTCATTGCGAAGCGGTGTGCTCCATCAAATTAAAATCTAGACTCTGAAAACAGAGGTTTTTAAAGAATTATTAGGTACTTAACCTTTGTTTGTGGCTGTTAAATAAATATCGCTTGTTAANTCTCTCTCTCTCTCTCTCTTGCTATCTATGGTTCATTCCCTCAGTCTTTGTTTGATCACGCAGAAGCAAAGCCTCTTGGATACTTTGTGCACGCGAAACCAAAAACTTGCCAAGTCGCGGAACTCGCAGAACATACTCCTCCAAAACAAAACTTTGCTTCGAGCCGTCTTCATACCCTCTTCTACGTCGTTGTTTACTTCATTGCGAAGCGGTGTGCTCCATCAAATTAAAATCTAGACTCTGAAAACAGAGGTTTTTAAAGAATTATTAGGTACTTAACCTTTGTTTGTGGCTGTTAAATAAATATCGCTTGTTAAGCGTAATGTGTGAGGCTAACAATGCAATACAAGACAATACTTTTTGGTATACACGCTAAAACTTATTAAGAAGCTGTTCAAACCTCCAGTCGTGCATCTTATTCATCTTTTGGTGAATCTCGTTCACATTTCACCAAGCGTTGAATAAATCAGCTTAACAGAAGGTTGCCTCAATTACAAAAAACAAAATTAAAAGTTTGAACAATTAATGGAAAAAAAATTGATTTGTAGTGTACTTTGACAAATCAGGGGCGCCCAACGACTGCTTCCTCCAAAATAAGTTGAAAGTACTTTTAGATGTCAAGAAATGCATTCTAAGCGGCGCTATAAAATTTGTATCTGTTCGGTCATCCTAGGGAAACTTGAGTCTTTTCGAAATTACAAGGGCTTCAGTATTATTTTCCAAAAAATTTTAGGTGCAATTTAACGTTTTACAAAAGTGAGAATTTTTCTGATTCCTCTGTCCATAGCATTTTAGAATCCGAAAATTTTAGGCTTCCTTTTTCTAAGAAAAATAGCGTGAGCTGGATAGCAAAATGTGAAAATTTAAACTTCAGAAAATCGTAGGGAATTTATTAGATAACCTTTGAAAATTGTACATGAATGGAACGTTCATCTAGAAATTTTTAGCTGTCCTCAAGCAAAAGAAAATTCTAGGCAACATGTGCTTCTCCGAACAGATATTTGTATATCCAGATAACAGTCGTTGGGTGCCCCTGAAAAATGACTTTCAATTAATTTGTTTACGTTCTTAGTTCGTTACACCCCTGGCAAAGCTCGGGTCGTTTACTTTCCCCAGTTCTATTACCACGGGGACTGCAACTCCAAAGAAGCACAGGATCAAATTAAAAGCAACTTCATCAGTTTATTAAACCTATCGTTTATGCCGTCGGGCATCTGTAGAGATCACCCCGCGGACTGCCACGTTGGTAATGTGAACGTATTTTGTGGTGCAACAACCTCCGCTAAGCGACGGCGGCGCAGGTCGGTTCGTGAGGTGTATGTCAAAGTAGACGTAGTGGCAGAGCAGAAACCAAGCGGAGCCTCTCAAACTGTATCACAACTGGAAAAGATTTTGGAAACTGACGCAAGGCCTCAACTGGATGCGAGGGCAAAGAATTTTGATTGGAGTCCGCTTCGTGCATCAACTGATCTTGAGTATCAGCGTTATACCCTGTCGAATGCTGAGGCTTACTGCTCTGATCAAGGCGCCGTAATTGGCAAGTGTGATTCACTGGAAACTGGCTGCGATGGAATTGCCAAACCACACAGCTTGTGCCAGTGTAACAAGGGCTCTGGATCGATAGAAAAGTGTAGTAAGTAACAATGGCTTAAACGTAGGTTCTTCTCTAAAAACGTCAACCTAATTCAACATCTCTTTTTTTTTTCATAATTAATTTTTATACATGTACGTTGTAGTTAACCTTATTGAAGGCTGTTTAATTATGCCGAAAAATAGGGTCACCGTGTCAAGAAAACATCTGGCGACTTCATGATGATGAGTATATTTTTTCATGGAGACATATAGCCGAACCCCTCTTTAAGGACACTTGCTTGATACGGACACCTCTTTATTACGGACAGTTTTCTTCTTCCTTGGAGTAAGCCCTTGCGTTTGCTCTAAATTCAACCCGCTTAATACGGACACCCGTTAATGAGGACAACTGACACTTACTTCTTGACCAATCAACGAATCCTCATAGAAAGCCAATCTCACTAAAGCGGACACTTCACTGATCAGCTGTGTGCTGTAATAGACCTTTCCATCTTGAAGGTAAAAAATCCCTCAGTTGACAACATGTCGATGATCCAGCGCTACCATATACCGGATAGGATGATTAGTAGAGTCAATTTTTGGCATCATACGAGTTATGCAGCGAAGGGTTTTGATTAGATAATACTATATAAAATGAGCGATTTTTAGGTGTTTCTATGACCTTAAGCCGCGTAATGACGGCTTTAAGGTTAGAGGAGTTTAATTTGACAATGCTTATGTCCTCTGTTATTTCTTTGGTATTTTGTTCTAGTAAAAGGTTTTTTTTGACTTTGATAACACGGCCAGCTTAATATGGACACCCCATTAATACGGACACTTTCTGCGGTCCCTTCAGTGTCCGTATTAACGAGGTTTAATTTTTTATCCTTTGTTGCTTATACACAATTCGTGAACGATAAGAATTAAATTTTTCATGTTAC